TGGGTACAAGGAACCTTCTATTATTCTCAGTATGAGTACAAGGAACCTCCAGTTATTCTTAGAATGGGTACATGGAACATACTGTTATCCTTAGTATGGGTACAAGGAACCTTCAGTTATGCTCAACATAATGTGAAATTAATGCCCTAGACACTCATGAAGTCGTAGAGACAACAGTTATCTTAAGCAGTGATAGATGTCTAGATGTATAACTTAGTGTGTCCTGGGACGAGTGTTTTACTATTGTTTTTTGGCCAAGAGTCTTACTCTACATGAGCCTCCTTTATTTATAGGATTAACCTGGTCCACTGATTACCTGAGAGAGAGAGAGTTAAGAATGTGTTGTCGAGTCGAAAGGTGCATCGCGAAGTATAGTCTCTGGTGTCTTAAGCTTTTGGCACGAACCTTTCCCGCCGAGTTGCTGGTTAACATGTTTAATTTTATTTTATTTCTCTGGGCTAAAACCCTGCGTTAATATTATTGTCGCTGGCTGCGACTGAATGCATTATCGTCGAAACGTATAGTGTTAGGTCCATGTGACGCGTAATAATCACATTAGCGTGTAGGTACTCTCTCACCCGTGTAATGATACGAGCAGTGAAATAGTTGTAATATGAAACAAAAGTTTGGGGATATATCAGCTGTATGTCCACAACTGAGAAGGTTGGAGAAGTGGGCATCAATGAGGGCCGCTTACGTCACACTTGGCAGGAGTGGTAGCCCGGATGGTTGACGTGCCATGCCCCCACTGCCTCAACAGTTTCCCTTCCCCCCCCCAAATACCCCCCCCCTAGGTGAGAGGGCCGGCAGTGCCACCTGCGCTGGCACCCTGGTCCTGGCTCAGTCTCGTTCCCCCCCGTGAGCGTGGCGCCAGCAGCAGCTGCAAGAGTGGGAGTGGTGTTGTGTTTGTGTCGGATGTACGTGTGATGGTGCTGTAAGTCTCATCAGGCAGTCATGGGCAACAAGCAGGGCCATGAGCTCTCGCCCGAGGAGAAGCAAAAGCTCAAAGAAGAAAAAGAACGAGAGAAAAAACTCCTGAAGGAGGAAAAAGAACGCAAAAAACGAGAAAAGAAAGAAGAAAAAAAGCGTAAAAAAGAAAAGAAAAAGAGGAAGGATAAAGGCTTGTCTGGGCTAGACAACGAGGATGAGGACGCGGAGAGTGATGGTGGTAGTTCAGCCTGGTCAGAGAAGAGCCAAGGATCAGCTCCCGGGTCTTGGTATCACTCTGCATCAGAGCCTTCTTCAAAGAGATCTTCCATCTACCTTCCAGCATCAGCAGGACCTGGATACTACCAACATGACTGTTGGTATCCGGGTTACGAAGACAGTGGCTCAGAGAAGTCGAAGTCACCGTCTAGAGCCCCCAGTTTGAAGGACACTCTAAATATTCGAGCTGGGTCCCTAGAACGCTATCCTCTGGGTGTACCCAAAGCAGAGCCAATTGAACCTTTGCATAAAGCTGGATCCCTGGATTTGTCTTCTGCTGTTGCTAAAACGTATTTGAAAGAACGTGAAAAGCGATCTTCCGAAGGCGAAATTACGGCAGCAATAGCCTCTCGATATGATGAAACAATACGTAGCTCTCGAGATAATATAGAATATACAACACAAGAGAGAGAATCCGTCATCAGCAAAATCGTGTCGGAACGTACACGATCTGTGACAGATCGGGTGTCTCTCAACTCATCCGTCTATCACTCAGCAGAAGAAGGATCGGTTCGAGGCGAGAAGAGGAAGGCATCCATTGAAGACCGGGGTCCTCTCTCAACAGTGGAAGGTCGCTTAGGTTCCGAAACTAAGCGACAGTCACTCGACTACGCCTCAGACCATACTTCAGTCACTGGCTCCATCTACTACTCAGCCGACGAAGGAGGCTCCATTGCTGGCTCTGTATACTACAGCGCCACCTCTGGTTCTGAGATAGAGGATCACGGCGACGACAATGAACTTCTTGGAAAAGGTAATCTTTTCTTAGCGATAATCATTGCAGCACAATTGATTAATCCGCATTAAGTGCAACATATCAAATATTTGAAGCCCTTTATTAGCCCCATAGTAAGCAAGTGAAAACTGTCGTTGAAATACATTTTTGTAAGAATGAAAACAAATATGGATAAATTTGATAGGAGCGTTAAGCTAAATCTGACTCTTCCTTGTTGACTTAGTGTCAAGCTGAAAAATGTTGAGCATTATTATGACTTACGCTGGAGCAGATTGGGGGGAAATAACATTAAGGAGAGCTAACCACCTCGAGATAAATGCGAATGATAAATTAAGGTGAAATGAGTTTTTTCTTGATTCCACTTAGATTGTAATAATGTGTGGTGGATAGTATGTGACATGGCTAAGTAGGTGGTGGGGTTTTATTGCAAGTTAATGTATGTGGTGCATGGAGACTTATGCGACAACATATAGCATGTGGTGGAGAATATGTGGCAAGACATAGTATGTGGTAGTAAATATGTGTATAAAGTAAGTATGTGGTAGTAAATGTAGTGGATAAAATGAGGCAAGGCAGAATGTGGTAGAGTACATGTGGCAAGACATAGTATGTGGTAGTAAATATGTGGCAAGAGAGAGTATGTGGTGTGGAATACATGTGGTAGAAATGTGTAGCAAGACAGGTTTATGTTGTGGTGTGTAATGCTGCAAGACAAAGTATTCGGTGGTGATATGTGGTAATACAGAGCGTAGATGAGGTACGTCACTAAAAATAGAATGGTACTTAAAATAACGCGTGGCGTTAATGGTAAAGTCAAACACTCTCCAGCCTGTGTGTTGATGAGTAAAGTCATCAGCCTGTCAGCCAGGGTGCGCGAGGGAACCCCATGTCTGCCGGCCTGGGTTAAGGCCGGTAACTGTTGTGTTATCCTGTATATATATATAAATGTTTTACCAAGAGGCGTGTATATATATATATATATATATATATATATATATATATATATATATATATATATATATATATATATATATATATATATATATATATTTGATATCGTTGTTTTGTAAGCTATGTAGACGTTGTCTTCGTAGCAAGACGATGGTACGTCTGGCTTCGTAAGCCAGATGTTTGGGACAAGCCTCGTCCAGCTTTTCAGAATGACACTTGTGTGTGGTAGGAGATAGTTATATGCGGGTCAGGGTAAGCCCTATTGTTTCCCTTCAGGAATAATCGGGCTCCCTTTGCACCCCCCAGCGACTTCTATGAAGTCTGAATTGGTGATTTTATTTGACTGTTAGTTTTTCAACAGTTTTCAGCTGTAATAAAATAATTAAAATATTACATGTATTTGTTTGTTTGTTTGATTGTATGTAAGTAAGTGACTGCAAGATAAGCATTATAATACCTCGTGCATAATATACAGATATCTGAGTTTATGATATCTGATATCATAATATACAGAAGATATCTAATCTGAGATGTTACCCATTTCTTGGGGTAAATACAATGAGTTTCCAGTAGGTATACTATTTTCGGGCATAAAGTATACATGCTAATTGGTTAATGACCAAACCACACACCAGAAGATAAAGAAACGACGAGGTTCGATCCGTCCTGAACCATTATCAAGACGTATCACAAAGGGGGTTGATAATGCTTGAAATTGGTCAGTATAGGCTTCCGTAACAATTTGTAAGAATAGGCTTCAGTAGCAATTTGTAAGTAGAGGCGTCTGTAGCCGTTTGTAAGTAGGTGTCTGTAGCAATTTGTAAGTAAGGTGTTGTTTTAGGCTTTTGCGCTAATTCAAGTTCAAGTATGTTTATTGAGACAAGAAAAAAATACATCTCAAAATGGATAGAGTAGCTTAGGCTATTTCTACCCCCCTTTTGCGCTAATGTGTAGCCGAAGTGAGATGCTGTTTAGGCTTCGGGAGCAATGCGTACTTCTGAGTGTTTGGGGAGGGTCAGTTGGATGAAGGGTGTTTGCCCGCGAACAATAATAGCCTGGGAAGCCTAGTGTCTGGGAGAAGGTATGTTGGACGTGCCTTGTTTCACGTGCCTTCTCCATCCCCCCCCCCCCTCCCTCCCTTCCTCCCCGCTATCCCGCTATCCTCGCGGTATATACGCAGCTCTTCCCAGTGTTACTCTATCTGAAAGATATATGAAAACTGCGGCTACGGTGCCTTAGAAAACTCTGCAGAGGTATCCGCAGATATAAATATCTGTCCGCCCGCGGCTGGGATTAGGAATGCTGTTGTTTTAGATTTAGCTACATGGAATTGAAATTTCCATTTAGCATGGGCTATGGTGAGCCCGTAAAATTGATTTAGGAATGCGTGGGACGCCTGTCCCAAGGACACGTTGTTCCTCCTGCCCGTTCCACTGATAGCGCTGCTGACATTGTTGTTGTTGTTTTAGATGCAGCTACTCGGAAGTAAAAGTTCCTAGTAGCACGGGCTATGGTGAGCCCGTAGTGGACTTACCTGGCACAGGAGCGGGGCTGTAACTGACGCTGCTGACGTTTTTCGGGTTTGGTTGTAAAGCTGTTGATTTTTTTTTCTGTAACACTGGTAGTGGAATATGTTAAAGTTGTGGCGATAGTTCTCGTTTCGATATAATCTTTGTAGCTGGTTTAAGATGTGATATTGATCTTGATTCTTATTTGATTGCCTATGTTACCTCTGGCAGTTTGAGTTAGTATCTGGTACTGATTCTCTTTGTTATATTTGTTTGTGAATGACATGATGGTGCTGTTCTGATAGTTATAATCTTATAGTTTCCTCAGATCTTTATAGTGTATTGTAATCCTATAGATCTTTATATTGTATATTATTTAATAAAGAACAAAATGGTGAACACACGTGTGTGAACTGTAGTTCTGGGGGAAGCAACAGGTGAATGATGAACACACGTGTGTGAACTGCAGTTCTGGGTGGAAGCAACAGGTGAATGGAGGAATACTTGGAGAACTCTTCCCCTCAAGTCATCGCTATGGTGAGCTAGCATCTCTCATCAGAATGTCTCTTTCATACCAGGAATTAGGAATAGAATACTAGCAATAGTAATATTTTTATTTCCTTACGCTTAATTTTATATGGGTAAACATATAAGAAATAAGAATTGTCTGAAATCAGATAATTGATCAAGAGTGTGCGTTTAAAAGTATTGAACATATATCCCACACATCATTTGCCTACTGCACCGTTAATGCAGAAGTTGGCAGCTTCGGGAGTGGTCTCCACAGGAGAGGTTTCTCACTCAGCGAGACTCTTGCTGCTGCTTCAGTACTTGAGAGCATCATCACCGCCAGTCTTCTGGTCCTGAAAAGTTAACAAATAACATACATATACACATGAAGGAAATAGTAAAGCGCCTAACTTCTCTGAAGAGCTCTTAAGACGCTTACAAGAAAATTTTAACTGCTTAACATTAATTCTGTTCCTTGACCATGGATGGTGACTTGAAGCACAATAGGCTCACTACCGAATGGTCCTGCGTTCCATTCCCATACAGGGCTAGACGTTTAGGTAGGTTTCCTTACCTCCTAAGGCCTCTGTTCACCTATAGTAACATGTTATCTGCGAGTTAGTCAACTGTTGTGGGTTCCACTCAAGGAAAGGGAAGGTCGATCTTTGGTCTAGACTCTAGTCTCTAGGCTGGACTCTAGCTTAGTCTCTAGACTCTAGCCTAGTCTCTAGACTCTAGCCTAGTCTCTAGACTCTAGCCTAGTCTCTAGACTCTAGACTAGTCTCTTGTCTAGATTCTCGATACCTTAACAGTTTTTCTGTTCCCGACAATTTAAAACCATTTAATAGATTATAAGTAGCCTTTCTATATACCGTATACTATATATGAAGTCAGTAATTAATATGTAAAGAAACTAGAGGGGTACAAGGCGGTGTCCGGGATGTTTCTCCCTTCCACCTTCCCACTCATCTCTCCCCACCTCTCCCGTTTTTTTTCCGCCCCCTTCTCTCCTCTCCCCTCCTCTTCCTCCATTTAATCCCGTCTTTCATTCCCCCTCTTATTCCTCCATTTGACTCTGTCCCCTTCTCTTCTCCCCGCCCCCTCTTTCTCCTTCGCCTTCTATTTCTGACTCCTATTTCTTTGCATTCGTGTTTCTTTTGTGCTTTTGAAATTATTTAAAGGTGATAGTTTAAATGATAAAAACTGCAGTTTTGGCCATTAAATTACCAAATTACAGTATCTTTTGTGCAATGCAGTGGAAGATTGCTTGCAATGGGTCGCATGTTTGACATGCCTGACAGATAATACCCAACACAACATGTTTATAACATATCAAACTGAAGAAAGGACGAATTTGGAACAAATAAGTAGGTTAAATTGCAAATCTCTACATTTTAGTTTACGAATAATGTTTATAGAAATACAGTGTAGAGGACGGAGTGTTACGCTACAAACGTTTTGACTGTATATGTATATTATATTATATGAAGACAGATATACGCACATGAGAAATCTATGACGTGGAAAGACGTGCAGTTATTGATTATATGGGGAAGGTGTGTACAGTCAGATATGGGGAAGGTGTGTACAGTCAGATATGGGGAAGGCGTGTGCAGTCAGATATGGGGAAGGTGTGTACAGTCAGATATGGGGAAGGTGTATACAGTCAGATATGGGGTAGGCGTGTGCAGTCAGATATGGGGAAGGTATGTACAGTCAGATATGGGGAAGGTATGTACAGTCAGTGAACGTTTAAAATATCTTGCTTACAGTATTTCAAACAAATCAGTAGAACATATAACACTTACATATAAGCCAGATATAAAATTCTACTCTTATCAAGATACTTTACTTAAAAACGCAAATTATATTAAAGCCTAATAATTTTGAAATTTAAAACCCTTAACCAAGATATTTACAGTTAACGTGTATGTTATTACGCACCTCATCGTCGTCATCACTTCCTTCGTCATCATCATCATCATCATCGTAGTTACCGCGAAGAATGTCATAGTTGTCGTCCTCGTGGTCGTCATCGTGATTTTTGTCCTCGATGTCGATATTGTCGATATAAAGGTTATCAGAACGACGGGGCTGGTGTCCTTGGGCTGTTGCCATCTTGCCTTGGTGATGCATGTTGTTGCTACTACCATTGCCATGGGCCAGACGGAGGTGATGGTAGAGGTGTGCGCGAGACAGCCTCGGGTGGCGGTGGTGGTCGTGGTCGCTGTGTTGGTCCACCAACAACGTCCCCACTATGAACAGTAAGGTGACGCCCGCTAACAGGGCGAGGTTCCTCACGACCAGAGGCGGCATGCTGCTGGCGTGCACCCTGAATGGGGGCATCATGGTAATATCAAGTTGGATTACACGTGGGGTGGTCTCCTTGAGGGGTAGTAACTTAGGCAGTGACGTTCACACGTTCGTATGAATCTTTGCAGTGACGTTCATATGATTTTAGTGTGTAAAACCGTTGTTGATACTGAAGATTCCTCCGAATGAGCGAGATATTGTAGAAATGTTTTAAGCACTGACCAAGATTTTTAGAAGTATTGGAATTTACTATATTTTCGATAGTACCCACTAAGTCTGGGTACTCAGCTTCCACCTGTGTCCCCTAGTGTGTGTGTACCACCCGTGCTAAATGTGCGTGCGTTCGAGAGAAATATATGTAGTAGATATAATAGAGGAAAAGTAGATTGGTTAGAAAGGCGGGGTCTAAGAGCTAATAGCTCGATTCTGCAGGCACAAATAGTAAACAGTAAACACACACACACACACACACACACCAGCCCGTCCTCCACAGCTACACACACACACACAGTCTGAAGCCCAATAGGCTTCACCACCAAAAAACCACACTTTCCAGAGACTGTTCGTACATTGTGTGTGTGTGTGTATATATATATATATATATATATATATATATATATATATATATATATATATATATATATGTGTATATATATATATATATATATATATATATATATATATATATATATATATATATATATATATATATATATATATAGTTCAAAATATATATATGTATTTTTTTAACATATGTAAACATTCACTTCACTTTAGTGAAATATAGTACAGTATTGTAAAGAAATGTACTAATATTCTAAAATTTCAAGTATAGCAAGCACTCACTGCGTTCTTTTCCAAAATCACAATTATTTGACTTGTTCTTTAAACTAATGTAATTATCCACACGTTCTTGATGAAGCATTGTTCTTAGTCACTTGAATCTTTGGCAGGTGTTGACATGGTGGAGGTGTAGCGGCCTGGGGGAGTGAGAGGGTTCCTGGTGGTGGTGTAGCGGCCTGGGGGAGTGAGAGGGTTCCTGGTGGAGGTGTAGCGGCCTGGGGGAGTGAGAGGGTTCCTGGTGGAGGTGTAGCGACCTGGGGGAGTGAGAAGGTTCCTGGTGGTGGTGTAGCGGCCTGGGAGAGTGAGAGGGTTCCTGGTGGAGGTGTAGCGGCCTGGGGGAGTGAGAGGGTTCCTGGTGGAGGTGTAGCGGCCTGGGGGAGTGAGAGGGTTCCTGGTGGAGGTGTAGCGACCTGGGGGAGTGAGAGGGTTCCTAGTGGAGGTGTAGCGGCCTGGGGGAGTGAGAGAGGACGCGCGCGCGGGAGCCAGCGGGCGGGCCTAGTGGCGCCGCAGGTGCTGCCTCCACCCTGTTGTTGGCCACGTAATACATTATAGTCGGAACAGGTGTTTTCTCCGGCTGCCAACTGCTCATTTCCCTACGTTTCTATTATTTGTAGTTTAATCTAATTTGTAAATATTGACTTTTGTATTATTATCGAAAATCTCCGTTTGGTACAAATGGTGAGGGCCGCGTGCTATCGTAATGTGTATATACATGTATATAAAGGCGAGGTATAGTTTGGCGAGCCACGTGGAGTAGTAACCCGGCCGTGTGAGCCCAGCCACGTGCACCGCTGGTTACAGCCACTGTTGTTTACGACACGTCACTAACGGATCATCCCAAAATGTGTAAATATTATACAATCTGGCGCCCTCCCGGGCCTCAGAATGTTGTTGTTCGGCTTCGTTGCTGGAACTGACTTCGAGTGGGATTCGGACAGCGGCTCTTGACTTCGAATCATATTTTATAAACATGATTGGGAGTTGCTGTACTGTTTGTTGCCTAGAGATGAGTAGGATAGAGCGAGAGGGTGGAGGGCTGGCGGGGGGAGGGGGGAGTGTTGACTGATTGATAGATACATAATGTCAATGGCGCCGTGATGGAGTTTTACCCTGAGAAGTATTGGCGCCGGATGCTGTTAACTTTGAAATATTGGCACCGGATGCTGTAAACATTGAAATATTGGCACCGGATGCTGTAAACATTGAAATATTGGCACCGGATGCTGTTAACTTTGAAATATTGGCACCGGATGCTGTTAACTTTGAAATATTGGCACCGGATGCTGTTAACTTTGAAATATTGGCACCGGATGCTGTTAACTTTGAAATATTGGCACCGGATGCTGTAAACATTGAAATATTGGCGCCGGATGCTGTTAACTTTGAAATATTGGCACCGGATGCTGTTAACTTTGAAATATTGGCGCCGGATGCTGTAAACTTTGAAATATTGGCGCCAAATGTTTTAAATTTGGAGGTATTGGCGAGTTGTTGCATCACTTTTTTTTAATTTAGAAGTGTCGATGCTGCAAATTCCACCTTTGGAAGCGTTTGTTCCCGAGTACCAGACTTGCAAAGCTTGTGTCGGATGTCTTAGCTTGGTAAGGATAGATCTAGGAAGTTTTAGCTCTCTCCATAATGGATTGTTTTTCGCTGCGAACAGTTAATCTTCAGATAGTCTGGGGGTGTTGAAGGGGTCTGAAGATAGCATCTTTCAGTCAGCCCACTCTGACGACTGTGGTCTCATACTTTAAAGACATTTTCCCCACTGACGCCAATCAGGCCGAGCTCAGGCTTGGGTACAAATATTACTGGGAATATGGGATAGGTGTTCATGATAATGACACGAAGTGTGGTATGTTAAGGTCTCACACCCTGGCCCATTATGTTCTTGATTGTCCGTTGATTAATGTATATAGAAACACTGAGATAAGGACTGTTCCTGAACAAATACCCTGGATGTGTCACAACGGAAAGGTTGATGATATTCTTGAGAGATATAAGAATTTTGCACCAAGACTGTAATATTTTGTTGAATAATCTGCATGTCTCTTGCAAATTGTGTATACAGTATACCTCGGTCATAAAAGTATTTATGTGTACGTCTGATACCATACTACTTGTGTAAAGGAGGAAATGTAGATGTTCATCTCTCAGAATGTTTGGTAATATGTTTATTGTTTGTGGTGTGTGTCTATGTATGTATTAACACGATGTACTGAACGGGGTGAGAATAGCTTGAGCTACCTCATCCCCTTGTGTGTATTTTACCTCAATAAACTTATTTCAATTCAATCAGGCCGACGTCGTTCGCAGGCGATGATTTAACTTGGTCTCTACGTGCCTATGCCGAAGAGTTTTAATCATATAAATCGTACAAGTTAGAGTGAACAGCAATGCTTTAACCTGACGTTGTCAGGTCGTAATTTGACGTATCCATGACGTATTCGTAGCTTGAGGGAGCTAGATACAGCAAACACGGCTATCCATTCTCAGTTTACAAATGTATAATTCGTTTTTATCCGGGGGACAGGCAGCCAGTGTATGTACATAGGCTGGTATCTAGGTCCCTCCTTCCCCTCTATGGTCGAACTACTCACCATCCCCAGGATGCAACCCCACAACAGTTGACCAACTCCCGGGTACCTATTTACTGCTAGGTGAACAGAGGAATTGGGTGAACGGAGACGTACCCAACCAACCATTTCTATCCCGCTCGGAATTCCGAGTTTGGGAGTCGAGAACGAACCCAACTGTTGCGCTTTAGCGTCCACTTAATTTAGCGTTCTCTTAAATGGAAAAATTTATGGGGAAGATATATTCCCGCCGCAAGAATGAGTTTTCTCTTTGTCATGTTTCAATACTTAGTTTTGAATGATCTGAGTCATACTATAACACAGTGCGTATTTACGCACCTGACTTTGCGAGTACGTGAGCTTAAGCGTCTTAGTTCAAGTAAGTTTATTGAGACAAGAAAGAAATACATCTCAAAGGGATAGAGTAGCTTAGGCTATTTCTACCCCCCCCCCTTAAGCGTCTTATATTGTCGACTAATGGTCCCGTGTGACTGACCCTACAGCTGTAGAGGGAAGACTTCTTCCTCCCCAAATACACTGTTCTCACTGACTGAAGAACTCCCTCTTTATACGTCTCTTGCTCATTCAGTTTAGTTATCACTTGCGCCTTCTCCTCCTCCTGGTCGCAACTCACTCTGTATTCACCTAGTTGTGCTTGCGGGGGTTGAACTCTGCTCTTTCGGCCCGCCTCAACTATCAATCAACTGTTACCAACTACTTTTTTTCCCCACACCACACACACCAGGAAGCAGCCCGTGACAGCTGACTAACTCCCAGGTACCTATTTACTGCTAGGTAACAGGAGCATCAGAGTGAAAGAAACTCTGCCCATTGTTTCTCGCCGGCGCCGGGAATCGAACCTGGGCCACAGAATCACGTGTCCAGCGTGCTATCCACATAGCCACCGGCGCCATCTGTGTGTGTGTGTTTATTTAGTTGTGCTTGCAGAGGTTGAGCTTTGGCTGATAGGTGTGTGTTTAATGTTAATTAACTAATTAGTCTCTATTCCTCCACCTCTGTTAACCAGGGGCCAGATTCACGAAAGCACTTACGCAAGCATTTACGAACGTATACATCTTTCCTCAATCTTTGACGGCTTTGGTTACATTTATTAAACAGTTTACAGGCATGAAAACTTCCCAATCAACTGTTGTTATTGTTATAAACAGCCTCCTGGCGCTTCGGAGCTCATTAACTGTTTAATAATTGTAAACAAAGTCGCCAAAGATGGAGAAAAGATGTACAGGTTCGTAAGTGCTTGCGTAACTGCTTCATGAATCTGGCCCCTGATCAGTTAGTTGCCTTGGCGTTGTATCTCCTCCGTGACAATGTATCTGCCTATACCTTATAACTTTTTACCATTTTTCGTGATGTATTTACGCACATGTTGCATTATTGTAATAATTCACAACTATGTATAGTTATACATGGGTTGCTCTGCGCCGGTATAACCAAGCCTGACGCATATTTTAGTTTTCTTTCCTCCCCCACCCCCCATGCAGGTCGGCGTTCAATCCCCGACCGTCCAGGTGGTTGGACACCATTCCTACCCCACGTCCCATCCCAAATCCTTATCCTGACCCCTTGCAAAAATGATATATAGTCGTAATGGCTTGGCTCTTGCTCCCGATAATCCCCCCCCCCCAATTAGCTTTCCTTAATAAACGTTTGCTGAGAGTAATTTTGGCTCGATATGTGCCGAGATAACGTGTGGATTGAGAAGATGAGGTATGAGGGAGGTGGTTAATGAGAGCCAGAGTTGTGGACCTGGTCTATCCTGCTGGTGAAGTACAGGTTCGAACGCAGGTTCGAGTCCTCGTCACGGCCCTTGTGGATTTGTTCATCTGCTGGTGAAGGTTCACAATCGCGCCCTGTGTTCAGAGGCTCCGAGTCGGTGCGTGTGTTCATACTATACCTATACTTTACCCTTGGTGTTCCGGTAAACTTTTTGACCGAACATAAGAACAAAGGTAACTGTAGAAGGCGTATTGGCCCATACGAGGCAGCTCGAACTTGTACTGTAAGTGATGAAGACTAAATTTTTTTTGAGGGGGATGAGTACATGTTTCGAGTATTTTTTCTTAAGGGTACGACGGCCTTGTGGTGTAAAGAGAGACTGAGGGCCAGCCAACGCCACAGAGTGCGGGGAGGGAAGGGAAAGGAAGGGAAGGGGGGAGGGCAGGTAATATATCGCACCTGTTCAGGTGTGTGGGTAGCACCAGACAGCCCCGCTCCTGTGCCAGGTAAGTCCACTACGGGCTCACCATAGCCCGTGCTACTTGGAACTTTTGTTCTGAGTAGCTGAATTTAAAACAACAATGTGTGGGTAGAGTGAGAGAGAGAGAGAGTGAGAGTGAGTGAGAGTGAGAGTGAGAGAGAGAGAGAGAGAGAGAGAGAGAGAGAGAGAGAGAGAGAGAGAGAGAGAGAGAGAGAGAGAGAGAGAGAGAGAGAGAGAGAGAGAGAGAGAGAGTGTGTGTGTGTGTGTGTGTGACTGACTGACTGACTGACTGACTGACTGACTGACTGACTGACTGACTGAGACTGACTCCCTGGAGCAGTATTGTCAGTTCGCGCCAGTTTCCTCCTCTACAGAAGAGCTAAAACTTTACTGTGATAGCGAGGGAGGTCAGTAGGTCAAGATAGCGGTGCTATCCTCTCAGCGTGTACAGTACACATACGAGACTCACAAGCTGGGATGTGTGTCAATATATTGCACATAAACAGAGGGAACATTGCAGGAGACATTTCAATTTTTGTTGCGAATTTAAGTTTCATTGACCTTTGTAATTTGGAATATATTTTGACAGATGTCAGTGTGGTAGATCACGTGATATCAGTTGAAATATATAACTAGTGCTAGACAAGTGTTGAGTGTTATCACCTGGTTATCGCCACCATCTGGTTCAGGAGAGTGCCAGGAGGTGTGAGGTTCCCGGGAAGTGTCAGGAGGTGTGAGGTTCCCGGGAAGTGTCAGGAGGTGTGAGGTTCCCGGGAAGTGTCAGGAGTTATGAGGTTCCCGGGAAGTGTCAGGAGTTATGAGGTTCCTGGGAAGTGCCAGGAGCCATGAGGTTCCTGGGAAGTGCCAGGAGGCATGAGGTTCCCAGGAAGTGCCAGGAGGCATGAGGTTTCCAGGAAATGCCAGGAGGCATGAGGTTCCTGGGAAGTGCCAGGAGGCATGAGGTTTCCAGGAAATGCCAGGAGGCATGAGGTTCCCAGGAAGTGCCAGGAGGCATGAGGTTCCTGGGAAGTGCCAGGAGGCATGAGGTTCCTGGGAAGTGCCAGGAGGCATGAGGTTCCTGGGAAGTGCCAGGAGGCATGAGGTTCCTGGGAAGTGCCAGGAGGCATGAGGTTCCCAGGAAGTGCCAGGAGGCATGAGGTTCCCAGGAAGTGCCAGGAGGCATGAGGTTCCTGGGAAGTGCCAGGAGGCATGAGGTTCCTGGGAAGTGCCAGGAGGCATGAGGTTCCTGGGAAGTGCCAGGAGGCATGAGGTTCCCAGGAAGTGCCAGAAGGCTCCCTGTGGTGGTGGTGTAGGCACCATAACACTCTGGAGTGTTTGTATTGTGTGTAAACACTCGACGTACACTGCCGATAGACTATGTAAACAAAACAAGACCTTCTCTTACAAGGAGGAAAAGTCATTATAACCCCGGGTAGCATGTTATGCAGAGCTCTACGGAAGGGTAAGTTCAGTTGAGCGGTCCCTAGAAGGTAGATGTGAAGTGACTGTAGGTGTCAACATCCCAGCCGGCAGCGGTCAACTACAGAGAAGTGTGAAGCGAGTGTGGGAACGATTCCTAGTGAAACAGAGCCCTCTGTGACACATCTTCATCTTCCTGGAACAGAGATGTTACAGAGTACAGGACACCCACCCACCCGCCTTTAATACAGACATGTTACAGAG